AAGAACAGAAATCATATGGTTGCTTGCAAATGTTCTTTGCTGCTTGGGTGAACACTAATCTCACAAAATATTTTAAGAGCTCTTAAGTAAAATAGCATGGAGATGTATCAAAATCATAGGACTTGTTTTTAAGAACGAGTCAGTAATGTTTAAAACTAATTTGGTTGTATATGAATGTAATATTGTTGATATCTATCAAATTCCCTTTGGGTTTTGAATTAACCATGACCGTCCTTGCTGCTGTTGTAGTTTTGTTGTTTGTTGTTGTTAGTTGTTTTGGAAAGTTTTAGAGTCAACAAAAGTCTGTGAATTTTTTGTCTGTGAAGTAGGGGCTGTGGGTTAACACCAGGTAGGTTCCTTGTTTAGAAATAGGGTAGAAATGAAAGCTAAGAAGACTGATTCCAGCCCCAAGCAGCTGGGCGCCCGTAGCTCAATGGTTAAGGTGCCAGCCCCAAGCAGCTGGGCATCCGTAGCTCAATGGTTAGCCCCAGGGGGCTGGCAGGTTCAAACCCAACCAGGGCCTGCTTAACTAAAAAAAAAAAAAAAGAAGAAGATGAAGACTGCTTCTCTGAGAATTACTCTCTAGATGATTCCACCAATAATCTGAAACGGTTATTTGTAATTTTTTAAACTTACAGTCAGGGCTTTTGTTCTGAGTTTGTCTTAATTCGATGTTCATTTGTGTTCACTGACTCAGTCGTCCAGCTAATATTTGTTACCATCTGTCGAGACCGACAGACGAATATCTTGTCCTTCCATTACAAAATAGTTCACTGTCAGGGGTGGGGGGGGAGCAAACATTAAAAGATGCTTACACAAAAAATGAAAAATATACCACTAATAATGACGGTAACGGCTAATGCCCTATGTGGATCTGGTACCTGACACTGCAGCGTCTTTCTCTGACGAGGTCACAGAGTGCGTCCTCATGCTGGGACCCAGCAGGCTGTTTGATCTGGCTCTCTGTTATCCACTGTGCTCTAAGGCCTCTTGGATAAAATGTTCTGACCTGAGGACGGTCAGGGAGCTCAGTGACAGACCCTGAACGTCAGACTGCTTAGCTGAAATGACGGCTTACTGGTTTAGTGTTTTACGGTTTCCTCTTCAGACTCTGACTCGGAATAGAATTCACAGTCATGTATAATTTGACTTGTCTAATAATAACC